GGGGGAGGGTGAGGGGATGGAGTGGGTGACCAGCCAGCGCCAGCCCGCCTCCTCTCTCTCCCTGCCGTCCCTCCTGTGGTCGGGGGGGGAGGAGAGTAAAGGGGTGGCAGGAGTACCTGCCCCCCCCCCTTTTGCTGTTGTACCTGCTCTGTTACCTTGTCTGTTGTTGCTGCTTTCTCTGCACTTGGTGTACCCCTGCAGGAGGTGTACTGCACACGGTTCTAGCTGTAGGCATTTAGGGGGTGTTTTGAAATGTATTCATATACATTTATAAATGCCTACATTAGAGTTTAGTGTAGTTATATAGTCTCCTGCTTGGTGGTGCACCATTTGCCCATTTCCTTGACTATATCTTGTATGCCTTCTATTATTCACTCATTCTCCTTTTCAACTCTCTCGTCACTCTCGCCTAGGTCAAACCCTAAGCCCCTCAACTACTATTTTGATAGTCAGCAGTGGTGGGCCCTAAGAAATCGGTCCTAGCGAAGGACCTGCTCTGTATACCATGTTAGAGAATGAATGATTGAATTGAGAGAGAAGTGAGTACAAGTACCTAAACCTAGAATTGTGTACCCCCTAAAGGCTAACCCACTGTAGCCTAAACAACTACAACATATATAATGTTTGACATGCGGAGCCTGGGGGTGCTGAGTCTAGGGGTGCTGAACCTGGGAGTGATGAGTCTGGGGGTGTTGAGCCTGGGGGTGCGGAGCCTGGGGGTGCTGGGTCTGCTCGTGTGGCCTCTGGCGGTGCTTCGTCGAGGCGGGAGCTACTCTCTCCGCAGGAGCTGCGCGAGTGGTTTGCCCGGCGCTAGAGCCGTGCTGCTGGTCCTAGAGGTGCTCGTACTGGCGGTATTGGAGCTGCTGGGACTGGGGGTGCTGCTGGGGCTGCTGGAGTTGGTCCTGCTGGAGGTACTGCTGGTGCTGCTGACGGTATTGGAGTTGACGGTCCTGCTGGAGCTTGAGCTGCTGGAGCTGGTGCTGCTGGGGGTGTTGGCGCTGGAGGTGCTACTGGCGCTGGTGCGTCTGAGGGTGCTGGAGTTGGCGCTGTAGGAGCTGGAGGTACTGCTGGCGCTGGTGCTGCCGCTGGGGGTACTGGTGCTGTCCCTACTGGTTCTGGAGGCGCTGTGCGGCCGCGGCCATACGTCGTTCCGCTCCTTCAGCAGGTTCTTGGTCTCTCGCCCTCTACAGGTACTGCTCCTCCCTTACAGTGTCCACAGCCTGTCCAGTCGCGGTCACAGTTACAGCCCGCCTCCCCCCTGCCTGCTCCTTCTCCCTACACTGGTCCTACTGGAGGTCTTGCTGAGCTTCGTGAGCCTGCGTCTCGTCCTGCGTCGCCTGTTCGTGCTGCTCGCACTAGAAGTCGTGCTCCGCGTCCGCGTCCTCCTACGGTCCCAGGCACACACCAGATGGCACTGCGTCCTTCCACTGCTCCTCTGCGTGTCCTGTTGCCGTCTCCTCCAGAGTCCTCTCTTCCTGTCCTTGCTGACCCAAAGTCTGAATGTATTCGTGCTGCCAGTCCTACTGTGACGCGTCTCCTGGCTACTGTTGTCACTGACCCTTCCTTTGAGTCCACTGCTGCGTCTGCCTTGATCGCTGAACTTGTCGACTTTGATGCTCGTTGTCGTCTAGACTACGCTGCTAGTCTTATTGCTGAGTCTGAGTCTGTCTGTCCTCCGTCCGTCGGGGGTGGGTGTGCTCTTAGCACGGACGTCCTTGAGGACAGGCAGGCGGAGTTCCAATGTTTTGCTGCTGCTTTGCCTCATCTTGTGTCCACACTGATTGCCCCTGAGGGAGACCCGGATGCACCAGACATCCCGACTCCTCGATTGTACGCTGAGGTGATCGAGGGTCCCTACTCCTCATGGATGCAGAGATGGCTTCGTGGAAGTCCACAGGCACCTACGTCGACGAGGTTCCCCCACCTGGGGCGAACATCGTCAGTGGCATGTGGATTTTCAGGGTGAAGCGGCCGCCGGGTTCTCCGCCTGTCTTCAAGGCGCGTTACGTGGCTCGAGGCTTCAGTCAGCGGCACGGAGTTGACTACTTTCAGACCTTCTCTCCCACCCCAAAGATGACTACTCCTCGGGTGCTGCTGCACATAGCTGCTCAGCGCGACTACAAGCTTCACTCTCTTGACTTCAGCACTGCTTTCCTGCAGGGCAGCCTGCACGAAGAGATCTGGCTGCGCCTCCCACCTGGCTTCACTGGGTCGTTTCCCCCTGGTACCCTGTGGAGCCTCCGGCGGCCAGTCTACGGTCTCCGCCAGGCGCCCCGTGAGTGGCACGATACACTGAGGGCTACACTTGTGGCTCTTGGGTTTGCTCCTTCTACTGCCGACCCGTCGCTATTTCTGCACACCGACACCTCTTTGTTGCCGTTCTACATCCTCGTGTACGTCGACGACTTGGTCTTTGCCACTGCTTACACTGCGGCACTCGCCCACGTGAAGTCAGAGTTGTAGAAGAGACACACGTGCACAGACCTGGGTGAACTGCGCAGCTATCTTGGCTTGCGGATCACCCGGGACAGAGCACAGCGCACCATCACCTTGACTCAGTCACACATGGTGCAGCAGGTCCTTCAGCGCTTCGACTTCACGTACTCCTCGCCTCAGGCCACTCCTCTGTCTAGTCGCCACTCGCTCTCAGCTCTGCCTTTGGATGAGTCTGTAGAGCCGAGTGGCCCGTACTCAGAGCTTATTGGCTGCCTCATGTACCTGATGACCTGCACACGACCTGACCTTGCATACCCTCTTAGCATCTTGGCACGCTATGTGGCTCCTTGGAGACACCGACCGGAGCACATGGCTGTAGCGAAGAGGGTGTTGCGCTACTTGTGCAGTGCGTCGGGCATGGGGCTAGTGCTTGGAGGGCGACGTTCAGTGGTCCTCATAGGTCACGCAGACGCTTCTTGGGCTGACGACCAGGCTACGCAGCAGTCGTCACAGGGTTACACCTTCAGCCTTGGTTCTGGCTTTGTTTCGTGGCGGTCTACCCGCTCATCTTCTGTTCTCGGCTCCAGCTGTGAGGCTAAGATCTACACGGGGGCCATGGCTGCACACGAGCTACGCTGGCTCACCTACCTGCTGACTGACCTAGGAGAGCCGCCTCGTTCTCCTCCAGTTCTGTACGTAGACAACAAGGCCATGCTGGCCTTGTGTCGGGAGCACAGACTGGAGCACAGAACGAAGCACATTGCTCTTCGCTACTTCCTGGCTCGTGAGCTGCAGCAGCGTGGTCAGCTCCGCCTCACCTACGTGGCCTCTGAGGCCAACACAGCTGATATCTTTACCAAGGCCCTTCCGCCTTGTGATCATCAGCGCTTATGTGCTATGCTAGGTCTTGTGCCTACTTGGCCTCACTTGCTCACTTCTTGACCTTGCTTGTACTGTGATCTTACTATACCTGCACTTGCTTGTTTACCTTTATATATGATCTTGCATGTGAACTGGCCTTGTGGCCTTGAGCTTGTGCTCGGACTGTATGGTGACGTTGTGATCCACCCTGAGCTTGCTTTGCTTTGCTTGACTGGTCTTGTGACCTCTTGTTCTCCCCCATTTTGCCTATGGGGGTGTGTCAAACTCATATGCTATAGTCTGTGTAGGCTGTAGTGGGGTAGACAATATGGGGTACAACACTTCTAGGCTTTCCTACTTGTACCCACCTGGTTGCTTGTTCATTTCATTTCCTCAATTCTCACACTGTCGTGTCGAAACACCAAGTTAGAAGCGAAGCGAAACATATCGAAGCATTAGCGAGTCAACCCTCGGAGGTTGAACAACTGCTGGAGGTTACGCGAAAGTCAAAGGTCAGCGACCTTTGACCTGACAAGTACAGCGCGACAACAAGGACAAACAACTGACTCGCTATTGAGCAGTTGCTCGAGTCGTCACTGTGTCGAACCTCAACAGCAATAGTAAAACGGTTATTAACTGTATCTCTTCGTATTCCTTGTACTCTTATAAAAGCTTGTATCCTTTTGTTTTAATCAATCTACTTTGCCCTCACATACCAGCGCAAGGTGGTTCACAAACTTCTCGTTAAACGCTTCCGCTATTACATTGTCCTACACAGAATTTAGTCCTATAAAGATCCTAAGGGCTTTTCTCAGCCCAACATAATTGAGTCAAATTTATAAGCTCAGGCGCTTATAAACTGACACATATATATTTAATGTTTTCTAACACCAAACTGTAGATCTCGTGCTCGCCTTTTTAATCGAGTCGAAGTTACATGGGGTCTTCAATGAAATTCTCGCGCGCGCTGGGAGATACACTCGATGTGACTCACAATGTGCCCCTGACAGCTCCTGGTTGTCAGAATATATTTGCTGTCTAGCCTGCAGTGGGGTACTCTGTAATGAGTACAACCCAATTTAGGGCAATGTACTTGTATCCCAACTCTTGCTAGTCACTTCACTTCCCTTCCAAATTTCTCGATACTCACCTAACCCACTCGAACTCACCTACCTCCTAGTGTGGGCCTAGGCTACTAAGCCTAGGCCCCACACCTACTTTTTCTCATGGTATCAGAGCAGGCAAGATCCTGCCGCCTACTTCCGCTGCCGTATTATCCGCCGCACGCCCCGTGGTGCGCGGCATTGCATTTTTATCCCGCCACGCGCTTCGAACGCGTGGCGGCTTTTTCTGCCCGCCGCGCACTCGGGGCGCGCGGCGGTTGTCCCGTCCTTCGGAGCGCCCTCGGGGGGGCCTGCGCGCTGCCCTCCCCGCTGCTCGTCACGGCGCCCACTGCGGGACCCGCGCGGCGTCGCCCTGCGTCGCGACGTCCGTGCGGGACCCGCGGGGCGTCGCCCCTGCTCGTCGCGACGCCCCCTGTGGGACCCGCGGGGCGTCGCCCCTGCTCGTCGCGACGCCCCCTGCGGGACCCGCGCGGCGTCGCCCTGCTCGTCGCGAGGTTCGTGCGGGACCCGCGGGGCGTCGCCCCTGCTCGTCGCGACGCCCCCTATGGGACCCGCGGGGCGTCGCCCCTGCTCGTCGCGATGCCCCCTGCGGGACCCGCGGGGCGCCGTCAGATCCTGCAGCAGCAGCTGCCGCCAGGCCTTCAGCAGCAGCCGCCGCCAGGGTCTGCAGCAGCAGCCGCCGCCAGAGCCTGCAGCAGCAGCCGCCGCCAGGGTCTTCAGCAGCAGCCGCCGCCAGGGTCTGCAGCAGCAGCCGCCGCCAGACCTGCAGCAACTGCCGCCACCGACCCAGCAGCAGCAGCCGCCGCTCTATCAGCAGCGGCAGCCGCCGCCGCTCTGCCGCAGCAGCTACCGCCGCCCAGCTGCAGGTGCCGCCCCTGGACCCCAGAAGCCGCCCCTGGACCCGGTACGCCCTGTGCTGCCCGTGCCTGTGCTGCCCGTGCCTGTGCTGCCCGTGCCTGTTGCTACCCGTGCCTGTGCTGCCCGTGCCTGTTGCTGCCCGTGCCTGTGCTGCCCGTGCCTGTGCTGCCCGTGCCTGTTGCTGCCCGTGCCCGTGCTGCCCGTGCCTGTGCTGCCCGTGCCTGTGCTGCCCGTGCCTGTTGCTGCCCGTGCCTGTGCTGCCCGTGCCTGTTGCTGCCCGTGCTTGTGCTGCCCGTGCCTGTGCTGCCCGTGCCTGTGCTGCCCGTGCCTGTGCTGCCCGTGCCTGTTGCTGCCCGTGCCTGTGCTGCCCGTGCCTGTGCTGCCCGTGCCTGTGCTGCCCGTGCCTGTTGCTGCCCGTGCCTGTGCTGCCCGTGCCTGTTGCTGCCCGTGCCTGTGCTGCCCGTGCCTGTGCTGCCCGTGCCTGTGCTGCCCGTGCCTGTGCTGCCCGTGCCTGTGCTGCCCGTGCCTGTGCTGCCCGTGCCTGTGCTGCCCGTGCTTGTGCTGCCTGTGCCTGTTACTGCCCGTGCCTGTGCTGCCCGTGCCTGTGCTGCCCGTGCCTATGCTGCCCGTGCCTGTGCTGCCCGTGCCTGTGCTGCCCGTGCCTGTGCTGCCCGTGCCTGTGCTGCCCGTGCCTGTTGCTGCCCGTGCCTGTGCTGCCCGTGCCTGTGCTGCCCGTGCCTGTGCTGCCCGCGCCTGTGCTGCCTGTGCCTGTTGCTACCCGTGCCTGTGCTGCCCGTGCCTGTGCTGCCCGTGCCTGTGCTGCCCGTGCTTGTTGCTGCCCGTGCCTGTGCTGCCCGTGCCTGTGCTGCCCGTGCCTGTGCTGCCCGTGCCTGTTGCTGCCCGTGCCTGTGCTGCCCGTGCCTGTTGCTGCCCGTGCCTGTGCTGCCCGTGCCTGTGCTGCCCGTGGCTGTGCTGGCCGTGCCTGTGCTGCCCGTGCCTGTTGCTGCCCGTGCCTGTGCTGCCCGTGCCTGTGCTGCCCGTGCCTGTGCTGCCCGTGCCTGTTGCTGCCCGTGCCTGTGCTGCCCGTGCCTGTTGCTGCCCGTGCCTGTGCTGCCCGTGCCTGTGCTGCCCGTGCCTGTGCTGCCCGTGCCTGTGCTGCCCGTGCCTGTGCTGCCCGTGCCTGTGCTGCCCGTGCCTGTGCTGCCCGTGCCTGTGCTGCCCGTGCCTGTGCTGCCCGTGCCTGTGCTGCCTGTGCCTGTTACTGCCCGTGCCTGTGCTGCCCGTGCCTGTGCTGCCCGTGCCTGTTGCTGCCCGTGCCTGTGCTGCCCGTGCCTGTGCTGCACGTGCCTGTGCTGCCCGTGCCTGTGCTGCCCGTGCCTGTGCTGCCCGTGCCTGTGCTGCCCGTGCTTGTTGCTGCCCGTGCCTGTGCTGCCCGTGCCTGTGCTGCCCGTGCCTGTGCTGCCCGTGCCTGTGCTGCCCGTGCCTGTGCTGCCGTGCCTGTGCTGCCCGTGCCTGTGCTGCCCGTGCCTGTGCTGCCTGTGCCTGTTACTGCCCGTGCCTGTGCTGCCCGTGCCTGTGCTGCCCGTGCCTAGTGCTGCCCGTGCCTGTGCTGCCCGTGCCTGTGCTGCCCGTGCCTGTGCTGCCCGTGCCTGTGCTGCCCGTGCCTGTTGCTGCCCGTGCCTGTGCTGCCCGTGCCTGTGCTGCCCGTGCCTGTGCTGCCCGTGCCTGTGCTGCCCGTGCCTGTGCTGCCCGTGCCTGTGCTGCCCGTGCCTGTTGCTGCCCGTGCCTGTGCTGCCCGTGCCTGTGCTGCCCGTGCCTGTGCTGCCCGTGCCTGTGCTGCCCGTGCCTGTTGCTGCCCGTGCCTGTTGCTGCCCGTGCCTGTGCTGCCCGTGCCTGTGCTGCCCGTGCTGTGCTGGCCGTGCCTGTGCTGCCCGTGCCTGTTGCTGCCCGTGCCTGTGCTGCCCGTGCCTGTGCTGCCCGTGCCTGTGCTGCCCGTGCCTGTTGCTGCCCGTGCCTGTGCTGCCCGTGCCTGTTGCTGCCCGTGCCTGTGCTGCCCGTGCCTGTGCTGCCCGTGCCTGTGCTGCCCGTGCCTGTGCTGCCCGTGCCTGTGCTGCCCGTGCCTGTGTGCCCGTGCCTGTGCTGCCCGTGCCTGTGCTGCCTGTGCCTGTTGCTGCCCGTGCCTGTGCTGCCCGTGCCTGTGCTGCCCGTGCCTGTGCTGCCCGTGCCTGTGCTGCCCGTGCCTGTGCTGCCCGTGCCTGTGCTGCCCGTGCCTGTGCTGCCGCGTGCCTGTGCTGCCCGTGCCTGTGCTGCCCGTGCCTGTTGCTGCCCGTGCCTGTGCTGCCCGTGCCTGTTGCTGCCCGTGCCTGTGCTGCCCGTGCCTGTGCTGCCCGTGCCTGTGCTGCCCGTGACTGTGCTGCCAGTGCCTGTGCCTGCCCCGTGGCCTGTGCTGCCCGTATGCCTGTGCTGGCGTGTGCCTGTTACTGACTCGTTGAAAGCCTGTGCTGACCTTGGGCCTGTGCTGCCCGTGCCTGTTGCTGCCCCGTGCCTGTGCTGCCCGTAAGCCTGGTGCTGCACGTGCCCTGTGCTGGCCCGTGCCTTGTGCTGCACGGGCCTGTGCTGCCCGTGCCTGTGCTGCCCGTAGCCTGTGCTGCCCGTGCCTGTGCTGCCGTGCCTTGTTGCTGCCACGTGCCTGTGCTGCCCGTGACGTGTGCTGCCCCGTGCCTGTGCTGCACGTGGCCTGTGCTGTCCCGTAGGCCTGTGCTGCCGTGCATGTGCTGCCTGGCGGCTGTGCTGCCCGTTGCCTGTGCTGCCTGTGCCTGTTACTGCAATACTGCCCGTGCCTGTTGCTGCCAGTAGGGGCCTGTGATTGCCCGTGCCTAATGCTGCCCGCGGCCTGGCTTGGCCCCGTGCCTGGAGCTGCCCGTAGGCCTGTGCTGCCCGTGCCTGTGCTGCCCGTGCCTGTTGCTGCCCGTGCCTGTGCTGCCCGTGCCTGTGCTGCCCGTGCCTGTGCTGCCCGCGCCTGTGCTGCCTGTGCCTGTTGCTGCCCGTGCCTGTGCTGCCCGTGCCTGTGCTGCCCGTGCCTGTGCTGCCCGTGCCTGTGCTGCCCGTGCCTGTGCTGCCCGTGCCTGTGCTGCCCGTGCCTGTGCTGCCCGTGCCTGTGCTGCCCGTGCCTGTGCTGCCCGTGCCTGTGCTGCCCGTGCCTGTGCTGCCGTGCCTGTGCTGCCCGTGGCCTGTGCTGCCCGTGCCTGTGCTGCCCGTGCCTGTTGCTGCCCGTGCCTGTGCTGCCCGTGCCTGTGCTGCCCGGTGCCTGTGCTGCCCGTGCCTGTTGCTGCACGTGCCTGTGCTGCCCGTGCCTGTGCTGCCCGTGCCTGTGCTGGCCCGTGCCTGTGCTGCCCGTGCCTGTGCTGCCCGTGCCTGTGCTGCCCGTGCCTGTGCTGCCCGTGCCTGTGCTGCCCGTAGCTGTGCTGCCCGTGCCTGTGCTGCCCGTGCCTGTTGCTGCCCGTGCCTGTGCTGCCCGTGGCCTGTGCTGCCCGTGCCTGTGCTGCCGTGCCTGTGCTGCCCGTGCCTGTGCTTGCCCGTGCCTGTGCTTGCCCGTTGCCTGTGCTGCCGTGCCTGTGCTGCCCGTGCCTGTTGCTGCCCGTGCCTGTTGCTGCCCGTGCCTGTTGCTGCCCGTGCCTGTGCTGGCCCGTGCCCTGTGCTGCCCGTGCCTGTGCTGCCCGTGCCTGTTGATGCCCGTGCCTGTGCTGCCCGTGCCTGTGCCTGCCCGTGCCTGTGCTGCCCGTGCCTGTTGCTCCCCTTCCCGTTCCTGCCCGTGCCTGTGCTGCCCGTGCCTGTTGCTGTCCCGTGCCTGGCTGCCCCGTGCCTGTGCTGCCCGTGCCTGTGCTGCCGTGCCTGTGCTGCCCGTGCCTGTGCTGCCCGTGCCTGTGCTGCCTGTGCCCTGTTACTGCCCGTGCCTGTGCTGCCCGTGCCTGTCTGACCGTGCCTAGTGCTGCCCGTGCCTGTGCTGCCCGTGCCTGTGCTGCCCGTGCCTGTGCTGCCCGTGCCTGTGCTGCCCGTGCCCTGTTGCTGCCCGTGCCTGTGCTGCCCCGTGCCTGTGGTGCCCGTGCCTGTTGCTGCCGCGGCCTGTGCTGCTCCTGTGCCTGTTGCTGCCGTGCCTGTGCTGCCCGTGCCTGTGCTGCCCGTGCCTGTGCTGCCCGTGCTGTTGCTGCCCGTGCCTGTGCTGCCCGTGCCTGTGCTGCCCGTGCCTGTGCTGCCCGTGCCTGTTGCTGCCCGTGCCTGTGCTGCCCGTGCCTGTTGCTGCCCGTGCCTGTGCTGCCCGTGCCTGTGCTGCCCGTGGCTGTGCTGGCCGTGCCTGTGCTGCCCGTGCCTGTTGCTGCCCGTGCCTGTGCTGCCCGTGCCTGTGCTGCCCGTGCCTGTGCTGCCCGTGCCTGTTGCTGCCCGTGCCTGTGCTGCCCGTGCCTGTGCTGCCCGTGCCTGTTGCTGCCCGTGCCTGTGCTGCCCGTGCCTGTGCTGCCCGTGCCTGTGCTGCCCGTGCCTGTGCCTGTGCCTGTGCTGCCCGTGCCTGTGCTGCCCGTGCCTGTTGCTGCCCGTGCCTGTGCTGCCCGTGCCTGTTGCTGCCCGTGCCTGTGCTGCCCGTGCCTGTGCTGCCCGTGCCTGTGCTGCCCGTGCCTGTGCTGCCCGTGCCTGTGCTGCCCGTGCCTGTGCTGCCCGTGCCTGTGCTGCCCGTGCCTGTGCTGCCTGTGCCTGTTGCTGCCTGCCCGTGCCTGTGCTGCCCGTGCCTGTGCTGCCCGTGCCTGTTGCTGCCCGTGCCTGTGCTGCCCGTGCCTGTGCTGCCCTTGCCTGTGCTGCCCGTGCCTGTGCTGCCCGTGCCTGTTGCTTCCCGTGCCTGTGCTGCCCGTGCCTGTGCTGCCCGTGCCTGTGCTGCCCGTGCCTGTGCTGCCTGTGCCTGTTGCTGCCCGTGCCTGTGCTGCCCGTGGCTGTGCTGGCCGTGCCTGTGCTGTCCGTGCCTGTTGCTGCCCGTGCCTGTGCTGCCCGTGCCTGTGCTGCCCGTGCCTGTGCTGCCCGTGCCTGTTGCTGCCCGTGCCTGTGCTGCTCGTGCCTGTTGCTGCCCGTGCCTGTGCTGCCCGTGCCTGTTGCTGCCCGTGCCTGTGCTGCCCGTGCCTGTGCTGCCCGTGCCTGTGCTGCCCGTGCCTGTGCTGCCCGTGCCTGTGCTGCCCGTGCCTGTGCTGCTGCACGTGACCTGTGCTGCCCGTGCCTGTGCTGCCCGTGCCTGTGCTGCCCGTGCCTGTTGCTGCCCGTGCCTGTGCTGCCCGTGCCTGTTGCTGTCCGTGCCTGTGCTGCCCGTGCCTGTGCTGCCCGTGCCTGTGCTGCCGTGCCTGTGCTGCCCGTGCCTGTGCTGCCCGTGCCTGTGCTGCCTGTGCCTGTTACTGCCCGTGCCTGTGCTGCCCGTGCCTGTGCTGCCCGTGCCTATGCTGCCCGTGCCTGTGCTGCCCGTGCCTGTGCTGCCCGTGCCTGTGCTGCCCGTGCCTGTGCTGCCCGTGCCTGTTGCTGCCCGTGCCTGTGCTGCCCGTGCCTGTGCTGCCCGTGCCTGTGCTGCCCGCGCCTGTGCTGCCTGTGCCTGTTGCTGCCCGTGCCTGTGCTGCCCGTGCCTGTGCTGCCCGTGCCTGTGCTGCCCGTGCCTGTTGCTGCCCGTGCCTGTGCTGCCCGTGCCTGTGCTGCCCGTGCCTGTGCTGCCCGTGCCTGTTGCTGCCCGTGCCTGTGCTGCCCGTGCCTGTTGCTGCCCGTGCCTGTGCTGCCCGTGCCTGTGCTGCCCGTGGCTGTGCTGGCCGTGCCTGTGCTGCCCGTGCCTGTTGCTGCCCGTGCCTGTGCTGCCCGTGCCTGTGCTGCCCGTGCCTGTGCTGCCCGTGCCTGTTGCTGCCCGTGCCTGTGCTGCCCGTGCCTGTTGCTGCCCGTGCCTGTGCTGCCCGTGCCTGTGCTGCCCGTGCCTGTGCTGCCCGTGCCTGTGCCTGTGCCTGTGCTGCCCGTGCCTGTGCTGCCCGTGCCTGTTGCTGCCCGTGCCTGTGCTGCCCGTGCCTGTTGCTGCCCGTGCCTGTGCTGCCCGTGCCTGTGCTGCCCGTGCCTGTGCTGCCCGTGCCTGTGCTGCCCGTGCCTGTGCTGCCCGTGCCTGTGCTGCCCGTGCCTGTGCTGCCCGTGCCTGTGCTGCCTGTGCCTGTTACTGCCCGTGCCTGTGCTGCCCGTGCCTGTGCTGCCCGTGCCTGTTGCTGCCCGTGCCTGTGCTGCCCGTGCCTGTGCTGCACGTGCCTGTGCTGCCCGTGCCTGTGCTGCCCGTGCCTGTTGCTTCCCGTGCCTGTGCTGCCCGTGCCTGTGCTGCCCGTGCCTGTGCTGCCCGTGGCTGTGCTGCCTGTGCCTGTTGCTGCCCGTGCCTGTGCTGCCCGTGCCTGTGCTGCCCGTGCCTGTGCTGCCCGTGCCTGTTGCTGCCCGTGCCTCGTGCTCGCGCCCTCGTGCGCTCTGCTACTGTCTGCGCCCTCGTGCGCACTGTCCCCCCCCCCCCCCCCCCCCCCCCCGTTTGCGGGTGTGGGGGTGCTCCGTTTGTGTCGCCCCTTCCTTCTCCTCCTCTGTCGTCTCCCACTGCTGCAGCTGTCGCTGAGGGGGGTGGTTGTGTGGGAGACTGGGGTTTAGGGTTTAAGGGGGGTGCGTGGGAGTGGAGCTAGGGGTGTAGCAGCGGGTGTGTGTCAGGGGGGTGGGACTGTTTGTGGGAGGTTGAGCGGAGGCTGCCGTCTTGTAGTCCGCAACACCTGTAGTCCGGGGCGCTGTCCTGGTAGCCCAGTGAGCCTGCTGCGCCTGTCGCCCGTGGGTCCGTTGCTCCTGCCGCTCTTCGTAGCCGCCGAGCCAGTTACTCCAGTAGTCCGGGGCGCTGTCCCGGTAGCCACTGTGCCAGCCGCTCCTGTTGCCCGTGTGTCTGCAGCTTCAGCCGTCGCCTCCTATCTCCTCTCCTCTCACTCTCCCTCCTCCTCCTCACTTGCCCGTTGTGACCACCACTAGCTTTGCTGATAATTGTGCACTTTAACTATTGCTTCTTGAACTTGTGCTCAGAATGTGTGGTGACATTGTGATCCACCCTGAGCTTGTACTGCTTTGCCTGCTCTGCTGATTTCACCCCACTTTGGCTATAGGGGTGTGTCAGAATATATTTGCTGTCTAGCCTGCAGTGGGGTACTCTGTAATGAGTACAACCCAATTTAGGGCAATGTACTTGTTGTGGAAACAAAGAACGAGAATGAAATGACTATGAACGAAGTGAGTACAAATAGGAAACCCTAATTGGGTTGTACCCCCTATGGGATACCCCACTATAGCCTACAGAAACAAGTAAGCTATAAGTTCTGACACACCCCCATAGGCAAAGTGGGGGAGAACAAGGGGTCACAAGACCAGTCAAGCAAAGCAAAGCAAAGCTCAGGGTGGATCACAAAGTCACCACGCATTCCGAGCACAAGTTCAAAGGCCACAAGGCCAGTTCACATGCAAGATCATATATAGAGATATACAAGAGCAAGAGTATATATATGCGAAAGTACAAGCAAGGTCAAGAGGAGAGCAAGTGAGGCAAGACAGGCACAAGACCCAACTGCGTGCAGCAACGCTGATGATCACAAGGCGCAAGTGCCTTGGTGAAGACATCAGCAGTGTTGGCCTCAGAGGCCACGTACGCAAGTCGCAGCTGTCCACGCTGCTGTAGCTCACGAGCAAGAAAGTAGCGAAGAGCAATGTGCTTCGTTCTGTGCTCCAGTCGCTGCTCTCGACACAAGGCCAGCATGGCCTTGTTGTCTACGTACAGGACTGGAGGAGAACGAGGCTGCTCTCCAAGGTCGGTCAGCAGGTAGGTGAGCCAGCGTAACTCCTGTGCAGCCATAGCCCCAGCGTAGATCTCAGCCTCACAACTGGAGCCGAGAACAGAGGACGAGCGGGTAGCCCGCCACGAGACAGAGCCGGAACCAAGGCTGAAGGTGTAACCCTGTGACGACCGCTGCGTAGCCTGGTCGTCAGCCCAAGAAGCGTCTGCGTGCCCAGTGAGGACCACTGGACTGCGCCCTCCAAGCACTAGCCCCATGCCCGACGTACTGCACAAGTAGCGCAACACCCTCTTCGCTGCAGCCATGTGCTCTGGTCGGTGTCTCCCAGGAGCAACAAAGCGTGCGAGAATGCTAAGAGGGTATGCGAGGTCAGGTCGTGTGCAGGTCATCAGGTACATGAGGCAGCCAACAAGCTCTGCAAACGGGCCACTCGACTCTACGGACTCATCCGAAGGCAGAGCTGAGAGCGAGTGGCGAGTAGGCAGAGGAGTGGCCTGAGGCGAGGAGTACGTGAAGCCGAAGCGCTGAAGGACCTGCTGCACCATGTGTGACTGAGTCAGGGTAATGGTGCGGCGTGCTCTGTCCCGGGTGATCTGCAGGCCAAGGTAGCTGCGCAGTTCACCCAGGTCAGTGCACGTGTGTCTCTTCTGCAGCTCGGACTTCACGTAGGCGAGTCCAGCAGTGTCAGCTGTGGCAAAGACCAAGTCGTCGACGTACACGAGGATGTAGAACGGCGGCAGAGAGGTGTCGGTGCGCAGAAACAGCGACGGGTCGGCAGTGGAAGGAGCAAACCCAAGTGCCGCGAGCGTAGTCCTCAGTGTGTCGTGCCACTCACGTGGCGCCTGGCGGAGACCGTAGACTGGACGCCGGAGACTCCACTGGGTACCAGGAGGGAAAGACCCAGTGAAGCCAGGTGGGCGACGCAGCCAGATCTCCTCGTGCAGGCTGCCCTGCAGGAAAGCTGTGCTGAAGTCGAGAGAGTGCAGCTCGTAGTCACGGTGAGCAGCAACGTGTAGCAGAACCCGGAGAGTGGTCATCTTCGGGGTTGGGGAGAAGGTCTGAAAGTAGTCAACCCCCTGCCGCTGACTGAAGCCACGAGCCACGTAACGCGCCTTGAAGACAGGCGGAGAACCCGGCGGCCGCTTCACCCTGAAAATCCACATGCCACTGACGATGTTCGCCCCAGGAGGGGGAACAGCGTCAACGTAGGTGCCTGTGGACTTCCAGGAAGCCATCTCTGCATCCATAGCTGCCTGCCACTGAGAGGAGTAGGGACCCTCTATCGCCTCCGCGTAAGAGCGCGGAGTCGGGATGTCTGGTGCATCCGGGTCTCCCTCAGGGGCTAGCAGTACAGACGCGAGACGAGGTGAAGCGGCGGCCAGACACTGGAACTCCTCCTGCCTGTCCTCAAGGACGTCCGTGCCAAGGGCACACTCACCCCCGACGGACGGAGGACAGGCAGACTCAGACTCAGTGACAAGACGAGCAGCGTAGTCTAGACGACAGCGCGCAGCAAAGTCGACAAGCTCAGTGACAAGGGCAGACGCAGCAGACGACTCGAAGGAGGGGTCAGTGACAGCAGTAGCCAGGAGACGCGTGACAGTAGGACTGGCAGCACGAAGAGCGTCCGACTCCGGGTCGGCAAGAGCAGGAAGAGAGGAAGCAGGAGGAGAAGGCAAAGGGGCACGCAGAGGAGCAGTGGACGGACGCAGTGACATCCGGTGCGTGCCAGGGACAGGAGGAGGACGCTGACGCGACCCGCGACCACTAGCGCGCTCAGGACGAACAGGCGACACAGGACGAGACGCAGGCTCACGACGCTCAGTAAGACCTCCAGTCGGACCTGCGTAGGGAGAAGGAGCAGGCAAAGGGGAGGCAGGCTGTAGCTGTGGCTGTGACCGGACAGGCTGCGGACCCTCTAAGGGAGGAGGAGGAGGTGTAAGACCAAGAACCTGCTGCAGGAGCGGAACGAAGTACGGTCGGGGCCGCGCGGCGACGCTAGAAACAGCAGGAACAGCTCCAGCAGCCCCGGCAGGAGCACCCACTCCAGCAGCTCCTCCAGCAGCACCACCAGAAGCTCCAGAACCTCCAGCCGTAGCACCAGGAGCACTGTCAGTCGGGCCGCCAACGGCAGGCTCAGCGCCAGCACCCTCAGCAGGACCAGCGCCAGGAGAACTCTCAGACTCAGCAGCTCCAGCACCCACAGTACGAGCGCCGGCGGGGCGCGCAGCAGCAGTACCCTCTGCAGCCGAAGAACCACCAGCACCAGCAGCACGCCTCCAGCGCCCGGCAAACCACTCACGCAGCTCCTGTGGGGAGAGTGGCTCCCGGCGAGACGAAGCACCCCCAGGCACAGCACGTCCAGGCTCAGCACCCCTAGACACAGCACCCCCAGGCACGGCACCCCCAGGCTCAGCACCCCCAGGCTCAGCACCCCCAGGCTCAGCACCCTCAGGCACAGCACCCCCAGACTCGGCACCTCCAGACTCAGCACCCCCAGGCACAGCACCCCCAGGCTCAGCACCCCCAGGCGCAGCACCCCCAGGCTCAGCACCCCCAGACTCCGCACCCCCAGGCTCAGCTCCCGCAGCAGCACCAGAGTCACCAGTGACCTCGACAGGCTCGACCGCGTCTACCTGGGACACACCTGAAGGGGCAGGACCCTGAGGGGGGAGGGGGACTACCGGGGGGGGACCTGGTACCAAGAAGAGCGGGGGTGGGGGGAGGGACGGAGTGCGGTAGGGGAAGAGGCGGTAGTAGGGTACCGACTCGTCGAACGTGACGTCCTGGGAGGACAGAACACGCCGAGAGGTGGGGTGGTAAAACTGCCACCCAGGGGCGTCGGGGGGGAACCCCAGGAAGACGCAGGGAGAAGCACGAGGGGACAGCTTGTCCGCAGACAGGTCGCGAACAAACGCCCGAGATCCCCAGACCCGGAACGCCGACGCATCGCCAACCTTCCCCGTCCACAGCAGGGCTGGGGAGGTCTCCGGGCGAGAGACCCTGGGGTGGAGGTTGATCTGGTGCGCAGCGTACATGACCGCAAACGGCCACAGAAAATGGGGAGCAGCCGCATGCATCATGGACGTACGAGCGACGTCCATGACCATGCCAATGCGGCGCTCAGCAATCCCATTCTGCTGTGGTGAGTCCGGAAGCGTGAAGGTCTGACGGATGCCTCGTGCACGACAGTAGGCACTCAGGAGGCCAGAGGAGAACTCTCCGCCTCTGTCCGAGTGCAGACGCAAAACAGGGAAGTCAGAGCCAAAGCTCCTCCGAAGCTGGAGACGAGCTGCGCGGATCCAGTCGATCAACACCGCAGTGACCTCACCCTTGCTGCGCAAGGGGAAGACCGTGGTGTAACGCGAGTAGTCGTCAACCACCAGCAGGAAGTAGCGCTCCTGACCCTGTCCACGGACGCGGGCTGGGCCCCACACATCCATGTGAAGCGTCTGCAACGGGGCCTCTGTCGGAGGAAACTGGGAGGAGTGAGGGGCAGCACGCTGGCGCCCCTCGACACAGGGGACACAGGTGGGGCCAGGGCCCGGAGGAAGGGGAGGGAGAGACCGGGGAAGACCAGACACAAGGACTCGCGAGGCCATGCCCCTGAGCCGAAGCAGAGAGGGGTGGCCAAGGCGGTGGTGCCAGAGGAGGGTCTCGTGAGACAGACGACGGCACGAGCAGGGGGCAGACTCAGGACCAGACCTGGACGCTGCAGCAAACACCTGACCAGACGAAGTGACCCTACTAGACTCAGCACCTGGAGGAGAAGCAGTGGTCAGAGTGTACAGGC